ATCAGCATTTCCTGGGCTCAGAACTCCACTGCCACCCTAAAGACATCTGTGCTTGTTCCAAAATGCCCTCAGATGCAGCTGTGGTGTGGCTACACACCCGTTGTCTGGAGTTTCTGTACTTCCGGGCCAAGCCTTTGGCTCTGGAACCAACCGAACTGGCCAAACAGGAATGTAGCATACAATCCCGTGATCTGAGTCATATTAACTATTTATGTGGAAGAGGTTCGTAAGACATGGTTACAGGGAGCACATGCACGAGGTGCCCTGCCAGGACATGCCCTCCTGAAGTGGGTGGACATATGTAATTTGTAACCCACGACCCGGTCTCAGATATGCACTCTAAGCTTTGGCTTATAATCAGATCAGACTTTAAAAACAGTCTTGGCTTTCCACTGGCTCTGTCAGTGCTGCTAGAGTTAAAAAAAAAAAAAAAAAAAAAAAAAGGCAGATAAAAACCTAAGCTGTTAGAGAAGATCCATTTTCCTCCTTGAGGAACTATTATTAACTTTGTTCTCTCTTGGGGGGAAAAAGGGGTTTTATTTTTCAGTTTAAGACTTCAGGGAACGTTCATGTTATCTTCAGCAGAATCAGCTCTTACCATAAAGAACAAATCAGTGAGATCCATCTTTGTTGGTTTAACAACCATATTATTAGAAGATATGAGCCCTGGAAAGGACAAGACCAGGCTTTCTAAGTGTAACTCACTGAGTGAATCCTGACACTGTGTGCAAACTGAGTTGTCTTTCAGGGATTGGCATGACCTATTAGTGTCATTGAATCAGTACAGCCCCTGAAGGCGAGCTTGGGCAAAATTATTCTCCCTGCTAGATGTCAAATAACAATGTAAATTATGTTGATTTTCTTTAGAGAGCATCAGAGAGCTCCACTTACGGATTCAGCAACAGATACTGAGCCCCTGTGGTGTGTCAGGCTTAAGGACTTGGGATACAGGGGTGCTTGGGTGGCTCAGTCGGTTAAGCATCTGCCTTCAGCTAAGATCTTGATCCTGGATCCCCTGCTCTGCGGAGATCCTGCTTCTGCCACTCCCCCTGCCTGTACTTTCTCCCTCTCAAGTAAATAAATAAAATCTTTAAAAAAAAAAAAACAAAAACAAAGTACTTGGGATACAGAAATGAGAAAGACACAGCCCCTGCCCTTAGTATGGTTACAGCCTAGATGTGCCAATAGGGGAGGCAGACGCCTAAACAGATTATTATAACACACTCTGATAAGAGCAGTATTACGAAAACACTGAGAACTGAAGCTCAGAGAAAACCTGCTATTTCTAACTGAATGCCACAATTTTAAGCAGCTAAAGACTTATTTACTTATACCTGTTGTTCTTTATAAGAAAGCTGACTCATAGAACTGGCACATGTTTCAGCTGTCTGTGACCCTTATCTGTCACGTGCCTTGATTGTATCTGAAAGCCCCTGCAGGCCAGGGACCACTGTGGACCAGAGTTCACTCACAGGCTCATACTTAGTAGTTGGACCATTCTTAAGGTTGCATATACCCTGGGATATCGTTGCATATACCCTGGGATATTGCCTTGAAGGGGTCTTCACTGCAGAGGAGGGTTTATAGGAAGCCAGGTGTTTTAATAAAGTAGCATTTTCCCTCCACTTTCTTCTGTCCTGCTTTGGCAAACTTTTTCTGTGAAGGACCAGATAGGAAATATTTTAGACTTTGCAGGCCATACATTTCCTGTTCTACTTCCTCAGTTGTGCCACTAGAGTAGGAGAGTTGCCACGGACAACATGTCAACAAATGCGCATGGCTGCATTTCAATAAAACTTTATTTACAAAGCCAGGGGATGGGCCACATTTGGCCCATCGGCCATAGTTTGCTGACCCCTGCTTCATAAGCAGCATTTTTATCAGTCTTGGTGACATTTAAAGTGTACTGACCAGTAGGCTGTAAGGAGTAATGAGCAGTAAACGTGGGGTCAGGAAACCTGTGTTAAGCCCTAGAGTCTCCCAGGCAGCTTTCCTTTGATCCAAGTCTGTGATTTCCTTCAGCCTCAGTCTTCAATAAGATGAGGTGATGGACAAAATGACTTCCAAGATATCTTTAACTGGCATTCTCTATTTCTGGAAAGACAGGAGTCGGCTGATGAAATTCACCATTAATAGGAAATTTAGAGAGATGTTTTGCATCCACAGGAATCTGGGTAGACTGGAACATGGATAACGTTTCACAAAGTGAAACTCAGTAGAAAGAATTATAGTCTAGTACTTAGGTTCGGAGAAGATACAGACCTGCAGACAGGACAAGAGTGTCTTGGGGTGAAGTGGCACAGGTGAGAGGTTTGGGCTGATGACTGGCTCATTGTGAGACGACAAAGTGGCTGCCCCAAAAGGCAAGGTGGCTTTAAGCTGCCTTAGCAGAGAAGCGTGCCCAGCAAGAGAAGGTAAGGGCTCCTCCTCAGCCAAGACAAGACTGAACCTAGTGTTGTGATCAGTATTAGACACCACCCTTGAGATCAGACTTTCACACCCTGGAGAGTGTCCCGAACAGAGGACCAAGGTGGCAAGGGAATTCCCTGCCCTTCCTGAGAGGAGATTGAAAGACATGGCAGGTTCAGGAGTGGGGGAGGGTGCAGAGACTAGAGATATCAAAATGGCTAAATTTGAGTTCCTATAGAAAATTACTTTTCAAAAAAATTTTCTGTCTTTACATCTCGGTTAGTACTCAAACTATAGTAGGCACTCAAATATTTGTGGAAAGAACACCTCTAAGTATGTGAAGAACGTTCAAGGGGAAGAAACATTCTACTTGATCTTGGTGGCGTCAGTGGCCCGAGGTAGGACTGTGGGAGGAAGCCACAGGCGACTGCCTTGGTCTTGGCATGTGAAGGGGCAGCCGGCATCCTTGTGCTTGGGAAGCAGCCCCCGTGCGGCTTCAGGAGTCCGCAGGGTAATCTTAGCATCGTCTCTCCAAGGCCGGTGGTCACCTGGTAGCTGCGGTTACACTCAGCTGCCTCAAGACAGCACTTCTGTCATGTCACCTGAAGGCCTCTTTGGTCCTGAGAGCGTGCTGTGTGTGCGTTTTTCTGCACACATAGGCTTCCTGTCTACACTCATATTTCCCACAGTGCGGTGAGGACTGGAGATGTGTGAGATGATTTGACTATTACGCAAACTGACATTTTAAAATATTTACATGTTTCTTTCAATGTGTATTAGAAAAAAATAAAGGCAGCACCTCATAATTTCATAGACAGTATGTAAGTGCAGGCTACGTTGGAAAAGCAAGTAAATTTAAAGTTGATTTACTGAAAAGTATTAAGTACATAGCAGTACCTATATATTCCAATATGGCAAAAGTTGAGGAAGTAGAATGTGAATAGTGGAAGTATGCTCTAAGTAAATTTTTTTTTTAGTTTGACAGAGAGAGAGAGATCACCAGTAGGCAGAGAGGCAGGCAGAGAGAGAGAGGGGGCAGCAGGCTCCCTGCTGAGCAGAGAGCCCCATGCGGGCCTGGATCCTATGACCCTGAGATCATGACCCGAGCCAAAGGCAAAAGCTTTAACCACTGAGCCACCCAGGCTCCCCTCTAAGTAAATTTTATTAAACTCTCAACTAAGACCTATAAAAGCCATTTTATTTTTCTTACTAGTATCCCATCTCTTTCTTCACCTCTAATAAGGCAATTTTTCTCTATTACGCAGTCCCTTCACTGGACAAGACTCAGATGATTTTTCTTTCTTTTTCATTAAAAAAAATATGCAGTAATGCCCCTAGAGAAAATTCCATAAGAGAAAAAAAATACAGTGAACAAAAGAAGTCTTATAAAATCCCACCACCCAGCTTCCCATTGTTTTTGTCCCCCTCCAGCATTCCCTCCTGTCTTTGAACACTTGTGTCAGCTTGTCATCATGGAATAGATGTACTTTGTATTTTTCACTTTAAATGTAGCATATCAAATTGCTTTATTGCAAACTCCTCTTTGCTGCATGTTTCCTCTCAGCATTGTTGGCCACTTGTCATTCCTCAAAGCTAACACAACCGTTTCTTATACTTCACTTTGACCCTGATGTCCTTGTGAGTTAAATGGAATTTACGCTCTGGTTCAGGTGCTAGAGTTTCAGCCTCTTCTCCAAATACCTTCCTTTAGGAAGTTTTAGACACCCTCATTTTACTTGTCTATAATTTTCCTTGGTGTTTTATAATTTAAAGTTTTTGCTTGAACCCTATCATTCTATTTTTTTTTTTTTTTGGCCTCTGATCTTCCTAGGGGGTCTTGTATCTGTACTATTCTCTTACCAATTCACAAATGTCTCTTTCTTCCCCCATTTCAGAATGTTTCAGAAATCCATAAGTACTCCATGTCCCATGGATGTAGGTAGCTGATACTCTCTGTATTTAAAGGAATATTTTAAATAAATAAAGTATTCCTAATGTACTCCTATCTCCATTACCTCGTTCCAGACATTGAAAATATGTACCTTTTTTATATGTATATACATATAAGCAAATGAGTGTCATATTGTCTGTTCATTATCTGTGTGTAGCTTTAGTTTTTGGGTATGCTTCACGGAAATGTCCATTTCACTATTCTAGGTCAAGACATGGATGAGATCAGGACTCATGATAATTCACTTTATTCTGGATAGTCCAGATATGTGGGCAATTAGAGTTGTAATGAGTGTTCTATAGAAAGTGAGCTCTGGGGGTCCCTGGGTGGCTCAGTTGGTTAAGTGTCCAACTCTTTGATTTCAACTCAGGTCATGATCTCAGATCAAACCCTGCTGCGCGGTCTGTCTCAGTGGGAAGTCAGCTTGAGAATCTCTCTCTCCCTCTACTTCTGTTCCTCCCTCTGCTCCTGTACTCTCTTTCTCTCAAATGAATAAATAAATCTTAAAAAAAAAAAAAAGTTGTTAACACTGAAAAAAATAAAGTTTAAATATCAAAAAAAAGTTGAGCTCTGTAGAAAATGTGCCCAATATATAGAAAAAAATAATAACTATTTATTCTTTTTGTGGATTTTTTTAAAGGCTGGATTACAGTGGACCCTCCAGAGAATTTTTCTTCCTCGTATCCAGAGAACTCTTTAACCCATATTATGGCTTATTTGAATATTCAGCCAATGACACATACACAGTACAAATAAGTCCCATGTCTGCTTTCGTAGACAATCACCATGAATGGTAAGTATTTTTTTCCCCAACACTTTCCTTCAGTTGCTTTCTGTGATATTAGTTTTTATTGGAACCCACAATTCTTTTAACACTTTCCTCCTTGGAGAAAAACCTATTTTCAGTTTCATTTGACACTTACTTTTGTTGTCAAATTTAAATATACAGGCATTCTCCAAGCTAGGATAGATTATATTCCAAAAGACCAATTTCAGGTGAACTGGGTAGAATTCAGATTTTCCCCCTCGGAAGGGAGTTCCTGATGATGTTAGGTTCCTGGCAAAATCCCTAGATTCCTCTCTACACTCTTGGGCATCTCTGAATTCTGAGGTAGGGTGGGAGAAGGTCCTGTCCCGGAGGTCAGACAGCTTCTGGACACCCTTAAGGAAGTGGCCAACCCTGGGGGTGGGGCAGAGCAGCTGGGACACTGGCTGAGGATGGTGATGGTATTCTAGTAGGAGGGAGTGGTGGGTGGAGTGCCCTGGAGGAACTGATGGTAGACGAGAACCCTGGCAGAAGGACATGGTATGGAGTCACAGCAGTGACTTACCCTGTTAGCCATTGAAGTTTGTAGCCAGGCATTGCCCCTTTCCTAATTTTTCACACAAAATCATCCGGGAAAACTGGTATAGGATTCCCCTCTGAAGATTGTTTATTCTAAAAATCCCAAATTGTCCTCTTTCCAAACATCCTTACCTCTTTTTTAGTCCCTGCATTTATACACATTAAATATCTTTATAACCCCTCTTTGCTTGCTCCTGCTTATTTCCACGGAGAGTAACAACAAAAAAGAGCGTAAGCAGGACTCATGGGAGAAGCTTCTTTGGGCCATGAAGGTTAATATCGGTGGGCGGAAGGCGTTGACGTGTAGGACTTAGTCTTCGGAATAACCCCACGCAGCTGCAGTCTGCAGTCCCCTTAACTGAGTCTGTTGCAGTTGTGCTAAGTTAAGTGGACAAAGAGAAAAACAAAGCTTCTGGATACTAATCTTAAACTGGCTACCTAATTCTAAAATTACAAATGGACTGTATGAACCTCAACATGGATTTACACTTTTGGAAGACATTTGGACTTTCCTGAGGTAGAAACCGCAGTACTTCTGAAAGAGAAAATAAGGGGACCTCTCAGCAATCAGACTGATTGGTCAGCAGTCATGACCAATATATTTAGTAAAGTTTCCAAAATGATTCAGAGTACAATTGAGCTTTCGAATTTTAGAGAACCGAATGGCCCATGAGGAAACTCCCCCAGATGTTCACAAGCATAATTCTTGGATGGTGACAATTATCAGCGGGGGTTTGCGAGAGAATAGAGATAGGAACCCTCTCACTCTGAGATGGGGCTTTTCCTCAAAAGGGGATTGCTAGTGGGTTTGTGTTAGGGAAATCCTGCTGATACTCATGCAAACAAGCTAGAAGGAGACATTTCCCCCCACCACACACACACCACTGGTTTCATTCTGTCATCTCTTAAAAGTGGCTTGGGGAAACTTCACAGGCCTGCCTTCGGGGAATCCATGGTGTCCGTGTGGGGTGCTCTATGGTGGATACTGTTGACATGAGACGGAGATGGAGCAGTATCTCTCTAAATATCAGAGTAAAACAGATTTTTTTCAAGTAGATGTGAATATTGGCCCAAGGGAGACCCAGGTTGCAATGCACTTGAACTCTCAGGGACCTCGTGTAAGCAATCTTAGACAAACTTCCAGTGGTTAGAGCTAGACCGCGTTCTGGAAGGTCGGACCACCTAGAAGCTGCTCCCTGACGTGCAAACTGCCCTGTGCTCTTCCTTCACAGGTTCCGCTTCAGCGGGAGGATTCTTGGTCTCGCACTTATACATCAGTATTTGTTGGACGCCTTCTTCACTAGGCCCTTTTATAAAGCTCTTCTCAGAATGTAAGAGAATTTTGATTGCTTGCGTAATTAGCACGTAAAAATGCAGTATTTCTTTCATTAAAATGAAATATTTTATTTTTTTCTTTTATGGGCTTGTCATTTATGTGCTTAGATTTCTGAAACTAATGCGATTTCAAATATGGTTACTGTGTTTTTCCTGATCTTCTCCTTCTGTCTTGCCCCTAAAGTGTTAGTTTTGCTTTATTCCGGAAAGTTTATTCTCATTTGTTACAACACATGTTACTTCAAAACAACTGTACTTCAAATACAGTACTGGAATTCCTGTGGTATTAATGCTGATTATTAATAGAATAGTTGTGGGTTAGTCTCGGTGACTCACAAACCCCTATCCTTTATGAGAAGCATTTTATATTTTGCTTTATGCAGACTTCAACTGCTAAGTTTTCATTCTCCTTTGTTTTGTTTTTGTCTTATTTCTTTGTTTGTTTGTTAGAGGTGGGCTGTCCCATATTTTTCCTGAGACCTCCCTATATACAGGACAGTAATTTAGTATGGCAGATGAAAATCTAGCATATCCAGAACATTTTCTTCATCGTTACCACAACGAAAGATTGCAATTATTGTAAAATGTAAAGCAAACATTTCCGTCCTGTAATCAGTAGTCATTTACAAGGCTGAACAGGAGAAGGCAACTGTCTAATAGGGGAGTAGTAGCTCAAACGTGCAGTGAGGAAGCACAGAATGACTGCTGGGTTCAGGCCAGCTCGTTCCCTGACCAAGGTCATGTACCTGCTTCGGTAAAATGGAAGCCTAGTCTTCAAATGAAAACAAAGTATTTCTAATGGGTTCTTAAGAGGGTCAGTAGGAAGACTTTTTGCTTTCCTCCCTTTTGGCATCTGGGCAGATGAAACCCTGGGCAACTGGGCACTGTCCATCTGCCTCTCTGGTTCCCCCCATCCCATTTTGCCTCTTCCCATGTCACTGCCTTCTCTCATCTTCTCATATATGTTTCCTGAAAGAGTAGTCTGTGTGATGTGCCCTCAACACACTTTGGCCTGGCTTCTTTCCCACCAGTAACCTATAGAAGCTTTTTAAATTTTTTTTAAAATTTTATTTTTATTTATTTGACGCAAAGAGAGAGAGAGCACAAGCTGGGGGAGCGGCAGGCAGAGGGAGAGGGGGAAGTAGACTCCCTAGCGGCAGGCAGAGGGAGAGGGGGAAGTAGACTCCCTACTGAGCAAGGAGCCCGATGTGGGATGCGGGGCTCAATCCCAGGATCCGGAATCATGACCTGAGCCGAAGGCTGTTGCTAACCAACTGAGCCACCCAGGCACCCCCCGTTGAAGCTTCTGAAGAATGTCTTTCAGTCTCTGTCTTACTGGACCACTCTGCTGCTTCTGCTGTTGTTGAACACCCCCCACCCCAACCCCATACACTTACTCTGAGTCTTTCCTCCACTGGTGTCCCTGAAAATGTGCCTTCTCCTCTGGGCCTCATCACAGTTCACGGTGCCAGTATTCTCAGGTGACTGGTCGGAAATCAGGAGTCACCCTCAGACAGAGGTGGCAAGTACGCAGCACCTACTCTACTCTTCCCTACCTCCCACTCCATTGCTTTGGTGTAGTTCACAAATCGTTTATGGTCCTTTTTCCCACTGAACTCGTTGTGGCCTCAGGGAGTTCTTCAATTTACAGCCCTCAAGACTCGCAATTAATCAGAGTTGGCTTGCAACATGAGTTCATTCGCCACCCCTATTTTGATATCCTTCTTTATGCTCCCCAGTAAAGCCATTTACTAATGCCCACGTTTACCTTCTAAGTAAGTCTTAAATGCATCTTCTCCTGTCTACCCTTAATAGCTGTGCCCGAAATATAAAACTCTTGTTTTATTTTAGCCAGATTACCATACTGGTCTACTAATTGTCTCCACCATCTAATAACCACTCTACTAACATATTAAGTAATTCTCTGTACTGTGACTTCCAGATAGAACAATTCAGAATCACATCTCACATCTGATCATGTCATTTCCTGTCCTAAAACCTGTTGGTAATTCTGAAGCACCAAGATCCTTAAAATGATATTCAAAGCCTGGTCCCAGCGATCTTCCCAGCCTTCTCCGGACATTCTGTCTTGTGGTTAACACTTGGGTCCTCCCAGTACGCTTGAGTGTTCTCCATACTCCATGCCCTCGTGCTTGGTTCGTGTTTGTCTCTCCTTCTCCCTCTTTCTGTCTCCCCTTCTTCCTCCACTCCCTTTCACCTCTCTGGCTTTTAAAGAGCCTACAAATTTTGATGTGGGTATTATCTACCCCAGAAGGGTTTTCCTGAATCTCCAGTTGAAGTAAATGTTCTGCATTCTTGCTGTGAGAGCTCCCTGTAGCTACCTTATCTGGGTTTTTTTAAGTGGAGTGTAACATACATATAAAAATACACACATTATAAGTGTTACCCACCCTCGGCAATCACCATCACCTTATATTAATTTACCTTCTTGTGCGCCTGTCTCTCCAATTGGGCCATGAGCTCCTTGAGGGCAGTAACTGTCAAGTAGCTGTTATGATGTCTGGCACATCCTTGATGCCTAATAAATGTTTAGGTGGAACCAAGCAAAATGGTCTTTGAAATTAGGCTGATGGGAGGAAATTTCAAAACAAAGCAAAAAATCAAAGCAAAACAAAGCCAATCAATTGTTACCACTTTAAAATAAGGCCATAAAATAATAATTCCACCTCTCCGCGTAGAAAAAGGAGAAGTATTGAAAACCATTATAATTGTAGAGAGATTCTGTGGCTTGCTGTTTTCAGAAACACAGAAAGAATAAGGACCATAGAGAAAAAGGGGACTCATGTGAATGTGAATCACAGAATCTAGTCCTTGAGAAAAAATAACAAAGTTAAAGTACAGCATAGGAACATACAAAAAATTTCGGATTCGGAGAACAATGTTTTAAGGTAGGATAACATAGCCAAACGAATCTGGGACTCAAGTTGTCAGCCAGAGTTCTAGTTCCTGCTCTGGCGTGAATCATGGATGACTGGGCAAATGGCAGACACTCTTTGCACCCCAGTGCTATGTCTGTAAAAGAAAGGATAGGCTGGTTGATTTAAGGCATTTTATATATCCAGATGTTTAAATATTATACCAGATTTCTGAATTATTTAGCTAGTCTGGTTACTGAATTTGACTAAGAACGTTGCAGGAATCACCATTCATTTAGTTGATCTTGTTCTTGCCTTTAATTCTTGGTATCTCTCCTCGTGCCTTTGGCATTTGGCTGATAGTCATACCTACATATTTGTTTCTGTCTGTCTGTCATCTTAGTCTGTGTGACCTGAGTGATCTAGAATACCTTGACGAGGAGTTCCACCAGAGCCTGCAGTGGATGAAGGACAATGACATCCATGACATCCTGGACCTCACGTTCACTGTGAATGAAGAAGTTTTCGGGCAGGTCTGTGACTCACTGGTGACTAAGTGTGATAATCAAAGACGGTTGGTGAAGAATTAATTCAGTGGCTAAGATCGTGCACTTACTTATTTGTGGCTTGTTGGGTGGTTTCAACCCAGGTCTGTGTACAGTTACAATAATTTTGGTTACAAAAATTATTTTAATGCCAGCTACAGATGAAGGTCCTCTGATTTACAGATTGTGGTAACTGTGTGTGTTATAAGCTATATAACTATTTGTGTATTATAAGCAATCTTTTATTTCCAACTAAAATATCCAGATAAGATATTGGAATGGTCTTGTATAAAACATAGCTTCTAAAAGTCCATGCTACCCCAGAGTTGAATATTCAATTATTTAATTGACACTTGTACTTAACTCTCACTCATATTTAAGAATGGAAATTGGTTGTTTTGAAGCTGAGGGAAGGTAAATAATGTTTTGGTGAAGGTTTGAAATCATATTGGTTTTTTCCCAAAGTTGGTGGAAGGGTTGGTTTTAAAAGATCTCTTTCAGAAATTGTAAACTGGTTCATAGGTAATATTCTTATTTAGACATCAGTATTTGGCTGGTCTTCTAAATTTCGTGTTGGAAAAGAAGTTCTCAATTTAACATTCATTTGAATGTAATTCTTCTTCATTAAAGTAAATCTTTACTTAAATATTGGCTTTCTATATGTAGTTGATTCTGAACCCTAAGGGAACTTGTGAAAATATGTTTTTGCCAAACATTCAAGTAGCAGTGGGCCAGAATCTGGAGCCAACTGATTTTCATTTAAAAGCCGTACTTGTTTAGTCAGGGTTTAAAACTTAACCTTCAGTACTTACGGTACATCGATTTTTAACTACTGAGGCTTTCAGACATCAGCTCAATGCCTAGTGTTTCCACAGTGCCTGGGCTCTGTGTGGCTCCATGAGGCACCTCCCCTGGCACCCCCCCCCTACCCCCTTCTCCCCGGCACCGCCCCACCCCCGACCCCCCGGCTGCTTATGGGATATGCCGGGCCAGGGCCAGGACAGGTAGCTGGCTGGCTGATTTCCACTCACTGGGAGCAGTGTTCTTATCACATCAAGAATGTTGCTTTATGTTCAGCCTTTTTTTTTTTTTTTTAATTTCAGATAACCGAACGAGAATTAAAACCAGGGGGTGCCAACATCCCAGTCACAGAGAAGAACAAGAAGGAGTACATCGAGAGGATGGTGAAGTGGCGGATTGAGAGGGGCGTCGTGCAGCAGACGGAGAGCCTAGTGCGCGGCTTCTATGAGGTGAAGCTTGCAGGAGTGGGCTTGTGCGGAGGGGGCTCTGGGATACCGCAATCCATCCAACTGCGCTCTCTGTGCGATATTTCCCTTCTTCTTTTGGTTGATTTACTACTGCTCTTTCGATTTAAAAACTCCAGTATATTTTTAATATGTTTCAAGAAGACGAAAAAGCCTTAATGCCCTGTTAGAAGAGCTCACTGAATTAAAATGATCTGAAATCAGGTAGCATTTCGTGATTTAATGACCACTAACAGCATTTAAGTCGTAGGTCTTACTCATGCTTAGATGTGGGTAATCACATATCTGTGTGATATGTGAAACGATGGTATCTAGCGTTCAGATGAGTTGTTACAAATACTCCATGTGACTTCCTGCGGAGGAGCACTAGACTTTTATTCAAGGAGAAAAACAAACTGGTCAGTTTTATAAAATCAAAATTCTGTTGAGGAAAAGATCATCCATCTTGTACTAAAAATACCTTGTATTTGTTGAGAGCTTTACAGTTTTCAAAGTGCCTACACAGAGTGCTTCCAGAACATTCCTCAACCTCCTTGTGTGTTCCTTTTCTGATGAGGCTTAATGATAGCTGAGATTTCTCCTGATTCATAAGCCATGCCCTGCATTCTTTTTATTCCACAGGTGGTGGATGCCAGGCTGGTGTCTGTTTTCGATGCAAGAGAACTGGAACTGGTCATCGCAGGCACAGCCGAAATCGACCTGAGTGACTGGAGAAACAACACGGAATACAGAGGAGGTGAGATGCGGTTTAGAGATGGCTGGACTTTTAGTTTTACACTAAGGGAAAACAAATGGTTAGCGCACCAGTCTCAGAATCCAGGACAGGCAGAGTACTTTGTACTGTAATCATAGGTCTGCTGCAGTCTCCTCTGAGACCTTGGGCAAGGTACGTTCTCTTCTGTTCCTAGTTACCTCGTCTGTCAAGTGGAGGAAGGACTGTTTACACCTCATCTAAGGATGTCATAACTCCTAATTGTTGGTGAAGAAATGTGACCATAGGAACACTAATTAATTGTTTTATGGTGTTGTGAGGGAAGCCCTGAGGAGCTCACGTCCAGCTGGTCAAACTCCACCTCTATACCTTCCTTCGAAACCCTGAAGTCACACACCCTCTGGGCCTCCTAACGAGCAAACACAGTTTTTCTACATTTCACTAAACTACTTCCAATTATAATTCACAGTTGAAACACATAAATGGAATAAGACATGGTTCTCAAAATTCAAGATGTTTATTGAAAAGGCCTTTCTAAATTCAAGCATTAAGTTCAACTGAAAAGGAAGCTACTATTAGATTGTTTAAAACATTTATATGACAATTCACCACATGGGAAGCTTTACAAGTGGTATTTCTGTACATCACTATAAATTTTCAATTAGTAATTGGGCTTGAAGCCATTGGATTTGATGCTGAGTCAGGACACTTTGAAAGGGACCTGATGACAATCCAGAGTTTAAGTTTTTATTCCATAACTTTAAGCAAAGAAAGAACACATTTTCTGAAATTTATTGCAGGGTGACAGTTTTCAGAAAGTCATGAAAAGAACAATTGTTTTTGTTTTGATTTTGGTTTTTGGTTTTTAACTCAGCTCAGAAAGTAAAAGGTTAGCAGTAGTTCTGAATTTGGGAGTGAAAAATACAAACTTTAAGTCTCTGAATTAATCACTCAGCAGAAGAGACTGAAAGCTGAACATATCTCCAGTTATCTGTACATGGGAACAGAGATTTTAAAACACTTTTTCAAGTGTGGAGTAGAAGAAAAATACCTTAACATTTGCTAAATTGCTTTTGTTCTTGCCTTGGCCCCTCCAGCTCATTGCCTGCCGTGGGCTGGCCTTGCTCGCCCATTCTCTCTGAAAGGCCGTATTAAACTGCAGTCTCTCTTGCTGCTATTTCTGAAACCGGTTGCTGCAATGTGTCTCTTCCAGCCGGCCCCATGTGTAATCCATGTACGGCCTTGGTCATTATAACTTTGTTAACCAGACTCTTTTTATGAACGAGAACACAGTTCCTCCAGCATGCTGTCAGACTTGCAGCTTACCATAAATCTCATTAGCTCTTCCCCGCCAGGAAATTCTAATAGCAATGCTGTTAATCCAATCAGCCATGTTTGCATTTATATGCTGTAAGCTTTTATTTGCTGTATGTGTCTAATCAAGTCCCTGTTTCCATGGTTATTGTAAATCTTGCCAAATGACATCCTTTGGAAGACAGTGCTCCGTGGGAGGCAGGGGAACGGCTGAGACACCCAGCGGTTTGCTAACCCAACTCGCTGGCACTGAATGAGGAGGCAGCCCGCTGCCACTTGCCGTATGTTCACAAAGCAGCTGTTTATAGAGAATATGAAGAGACATTTCTGTCCTCCTCCTCCAAAAGGTTTGGCGCAGACAGCAAAGGAGAAGCAAAAAGGGGCCAATTCATAAGGTCAGAAAAGCTATAAAGAGCCAATGTACTTAAAGATGAGAAAACTATTTGCTTAGCACCAACGAGCTCATCTCTGCCAAATGCATGTGGAGGCTGTAAATCTCCGTGTCCAACAGAAGCACGTTTACCCTTCACCTGGATCCCTTTCTTGGCCAGAGGGCACTCAGCATCACTGATCAAATGATAAACAGGAAGGCAAAATCCCCCCCAAACTCTACAGCCACTGAAACACGTGAGCAAAAATTCAAATTAAAATCACTTTTTACTTACCTTTGCTTTGGATTTATTTCTGCTGACTTAGAGTGGCTGCGTCACCAGTGTCAGTTAACCGGTTTGGATCACGAATTGTTCCTTAATCCTTGTCGGCCCTCTCTCGGAACTTAAATTTCCTTCACTGAAAGATTTTGGAATCTTCAATATTGCCTTAATCCACCCTGGGGATGATACTTTTGACATTTTATTAAATTCTACTAAAATACGGGATAAAAATAACATTTAGATTAAGGATTATATGGGATTTATTAGTTGAAGAAATTAAAGTAATAAAATTACTTTTTCCTTTTCATTAGTAAAAAGTGATTTGATTTAAAAAATCTGAACATTGTATGTAATTTTAAAATAGTTTGCAATTACATATTTGTATAATTATTTGATGACTGTATCTCTCCTTTACCAGCCCTGTAATCTGTTTTCTTTGCCTCTGTTTCCTCCAAGCTTACTATAGTGCTTGTTATGGTGATACTTGAAAATTTCTTAAATGAATGACCAAAAGAGTTAAGCATTTCCAGTAACAGCAGTCATCTTTTTCAGAAATGATATGGTTAAAATAACAACTTTGTTCTTCTTTCCACTTGTTTTATTTACTGACCACTAAATGGAAACAGAGACCTCCTACGTTCATTTAGTGTTGTTTTTGTTTGACTTTTGACACTCATGTGATCATATTTACAATGTTATTCCTTAGTCTTAAACGATAAATAACCTTTAAAGAATCCAAGATGATGATTTATGTCTGGAGGTCTTTTGTTGACATGTCATGCTGTCATGTCATCCTAACACAGAAAAGTTAAAGTAACATGGGCCTTCCTGTTTGGGTCGATAGGGTATCATGACAATCACATTGTAATCCGGTGGTTCTGGGCCGCAGTGGAAAGATTCAACAATGAACAACGACTGAGGTTGTTACAGGTAAGATTCCACTAGTTAATATTTTTAATGCATTAATGTAATTATTGTTGGAATTACATATTTCTTATAAATGCTGAGTACTCAGTGATTATACCCTGTGCTTATCTGCAAATGAGGGATACATTATTTCAGACTCTCCTGATTGCGTGGTTCTGTTGCTCCATTACTACGCAGAGCATCCCCAACCAAGTCCAAGTATTTCATTAAGTTTTGAGTACGTACCAACTCTAGTCCAAGGACCCCAGGAAAAACCCCTGGCTTTGGGGCAGTTGGTCCCTTCAAGAGGTCCCAGGGCACTCTGCAGGGCAACATCCCTAACAACAGAAAGTGGGTTTTCAATCCCTTAGGAGGTAACCAAGTCTTTGATAAAGAATCCTTTCTTTTCTTCCATCTAACTTTCCGCAAATTTGAGATAACAGTGAAGTTCAAGGACCCTGGAAAAACCAGCTCATTATTTTCTTGCAGTGCTTATAGTTACACGGCAATTGCTGGTTTACTGCAGCCCGAGAAATATCAAACATGAGCAAGCCTTCTGGGTACTTGGGCTCAGCCTTACGAGGAGACTGGGTCTTCGCTCCTTTGGATCAAGGATCTGGTCCTAACTTTGGACCTCAAGCTGATTGGGGACTGATGCTCAGCTGACTTAGGTTAATTGACACTTCATGAATCTGTAGTAGGAAATGGACCCAGTTTAGTCCTCTCAGCTGGTTAGCTGTACAGAATGCCTTATCCGCTACAAGCCTCTGCATCCCCTTTTCCTTTTTAATTCACTCTCCTTCCTTAGCATTCCCTAGCTCTTTGTCAAAATTCCTGTGTTCGGTTATCCCCCACCCAAAGAGTGTAACCTTCGGGCTTTCCCACCAGTGACAGCCTGCTGCTCTTCCTGAAGCTCTGTGTGTGTGAGTGATGCCCTGTGTCTCGCAGTAGCTAGTCTCTTGATTTCAGCATGTCCTTCTGTTTCCTTGGTGGACAGTTTGTCACAGGCACATCCAGCATTCCCTATGAAGGATTTGCTTCTCTCCGAGGGAGTAATGGCCCAAGAAGGTTCTGTGTGGAGAAATGGGGGAAAATCACTGCTCTTCCCAGGTAAGATAAAAAACATTTCTTTACTGTCACTACGGTATTCTGGGGAGACCTTTAACTTATGTATGTATTGATTAATTACTGTTTTTATGTTAAAATTTTGGGAGGGTGGAAAAAATCTTTTAGAATGAATTTATCTTTGATCACCTTTCTAAATGGAGGAGTAAAAAATCTTCCTGTCGCACTTAAAATGCATATATACGTATCATTTTCTTCTTTTTTTATTGAAGTGAAATTGACCCATGCTGTTACATTAGTTTCCGATGTACAACATAGTGATTTGACAAGTCTGTATGTTACGCTGTGCTCACAAGTGTAGTTACTGTCTGTCCGGATACATCGTAATTACAGTGTCATTGACTGTATTCCCTCTGGTGTGCTTTCCATTCTCATAACTTACCCTTTCAATAACTGGAAACCTGTATCTCCCACTCCCCTTCTCCCATTTTGACCACCCTCCATTCCCCCTTCCCTTTGGCAACCGTAAGTTTGTTCTCTGTCTTGATGAGTCTCTTTCTGCTTTTTATTTGTTTATTCGTTTTTGTTTTTTAGATTCCCACAGATAAGTGAAATCATAGGGTATTTGTCTTTCTCTGTCTGACTTATTTCACTTAACAAAATACTCTAGGTTCATCCATGTTGTTGCAGATGGTAAGATCTCATCCTCTTTATAGCTGTGTAACATTCGTGTGTGCATGTGTTTGTGCACATGTGTGCACGATATGAGCACACACCACATCTTCTTTATCCTTTCCTCCATCAGTATGGATTGCTTCCATATCTTGGCTTTTATAAATAGTGCTGCAGTAAACATCGGGGTGCAGATATCCTTTTGAATTAGTGTTTTCATTTTTGGGGGGTAAAAACCCAGTAGTGGGATTACTGGGTCACATGGTATTTCTCTTTCCAGTTCTTTGAGGAGTCTCCAAGCTGTTTTCCACAGAGGCTGCACAAGTTTTCACTCCCACCAGCAGTGCCCAGTGGTTCTTTTTTCTCCTCATCCTTGCCAACACTTACTATTTCTTGTCTTATTTTATTTTAGCCATCCTGACAGGTGTAATGTGGCGTCTCATTATGGTTTTGATTTCCATTTCCCTGAGAATGAGTGATGTTGAGCATGTTTTCATGTGTCTCTTGGCCATCTGTATGTCTTCTTTGGAAGAATCTCTCTTCAGGTCCTTGGCGCATTTTTAATCGGGTTATTTGTGTTTTTTGGTTTTGAGTTGTATAATTTCTCTCTATATTTTGGCTATTAAGCTCTTACTGGATATATCGTTTACAAATATCTTCTCTTAAAATACAAAATGCATCATAACCAAAGCATTTGTTAACTTTAGTAAAGTAAAACAATGTTGGTCATCACACTCTGGCTTCTTACGATTACAGCTGAAAAATTTAGATGTTAACTGAAGCGCTTGTTTTGTGTTTATATTAATAACTATTTAGAATCCCTTCCCTAGACACTGCCATTGTGGTTTTGAAAGAATACGAAATCCTGTTACTGTCCTCTGTGCCCCCTTGGCTTAGATGGCACACGCCTTTGTTCCATGCACATGCTCTCTGCCTCGCCTTCTCACTCATGATAAGGTGATGCATTTCCCTGGGGTGGCAGAAAATTGCTTCGCTACGACTAATAAATGTAAAAACTGTAAGGTGGTAGTTGTGGTCTTCCTAAGTGGCATTAGGTACCCCAAGATGTCATCCTGAGTTTTTTTTAAGTGCAAGCGACTTTGAGAAACCTATTAACAAGAATTTCTTCTTAGCGATCACAGAACACTGTTTCTTAAGGATTATGTTCTAAGCCCCAACACATGAAAAGTGGGGCACTGAAAGTACCAATACAGACAGCAGTGAACGGTGCAAGCTCTGGGCTGGTCGGAGCCTCCCCAGTCCCCTCGGGTGCATCTCCGTCTGGGAACAGAGGCACTACATCCAGACGCCTAAGTATTACCCGGCATACCCGATGTTCCAAATTTGGGAGATTGTAATTTTATTATTTAAATAAATATGTTATTTATTCCTGAATCCCCCCCCCCACAACACACAACTTAAACACATAATCAGATTCACACTTCCTGACGAAGGCTTCTCATCTCTCTGAGGAACTCAAGCATCAGCATTAAGGAGGCAGGAAAGGGCAGATGAATTTTGTCCCCTTTCTCTTGAAATCTGTTTTTCTGAAGATTTGCTTTTGTAGAGAAGACAGAATAAACTGCACCAATAAGCAGATGTATCAGTTGTTCACACTTAATCACTGCGATTTTCATAGAACCTGGTGAGCAAAGAACGGTGATTTGATGACGTGAAACCTAGCTTTGGAGAGACTGGGCCATATCCCCCGCCATGGGGTCTTGGAGAAGTCGCTTCATCTTCCTGAGCCTCTGTTTCCTTGTTTACCTTGTAGGCTGGTAATTCTGAGGACTAAATGAAATAGTTCATGTCAAGCCCTCAGTGCTGACCCTGGCTCTGAGTAAGCATCCAGTTAGTAGTGGCGGCCATATGCCAGGCAGTAACATATTGGAGTGAGCACAGGGCTGGGAGTTAGAAGACCTGGGTTCTAGGCCTGCCTCTGCCACCAGCTAACTCTGGAACCGGAAGACCTCTTGCTGTGCAAAAGGCCAGGGAAAGAGGGTGGTGTGTTAGGTTTGGTTGAGCAAGAAGTGAGACCCACAGGTTGGGGAAGATCTTGAGGGTCAGACTGGATTCACTCTTCTGCTTCCCCCTGAGAGCTCCGGGAAGTGCACGTGGTGACTCATCACAGATGATGGTGCTTTCACTATTGTTACACACTCACGGTTGGGCAACGGGCGTTGTTTCTTCCTTTCTTCGTTCTGACCTAAGGTTGGTTCTAGATCCCTGGTTTTACCCAGGTTGTAGAAAAACGTAAACAAACATGATAGGAAGCACATCTGGCTAGCAGACTATTTTCCTAGCTTGTCTATAACAAGTCCTAACTTTTCAGATCCGATAAGGAGGGAGAGCTATCTGGCTGTTCTGGTTCTCAGTCGCTTACCTAGTGGAGAGGCATGGGAGGCCCGGGCTATCTGGTCCTCAGCGGCAGGCCAGATGTGTCTCGGAAGAAGAGGAGTAACAATGCTGTGCTCACAAAGTGTGTGACAAGTTGGTGAGAAGATGCATATGAGAGCCTAGGAATGAGAAGAGCTTTGTTCTTTTTAACCCTGGATCCTGAATCTTCTGTAGCCCAGCCTATGGCTATAGCTATGAGAATTTGCTGCACAAAAAAAGTACACTTGGAGGAAAAACATAAAAAGAAGAACTTCAATGCATGACCACATAGTGTTATCAGAAGTGATTTCTTCGCTGGTAACATGATCATCATCCTTCATGAAATGGGTATTACTTAAGTGTAAAAAAGACCTCCAAGAGTGGCCCTAGTCTGAAGAGATTGTTGTAGATGACTGAGGCCATTTCTCCTACCATCAAAGTAGATCCACTGAAGCCATTTTTCCTGCTATTTCCTGATAGGTTCAAGTTGCAGAGCTAAAGAGCTGGTCTATCTCATGCTGGTCAACCCCAAAGTATTTCTTTTTCTTATTAATGAGACAGTGTTTGACGTGTAAAAGAGGACATTAAACAGACCGGAGACAAAATGGGTAGCTGTCCTTCTCAGTGACGAAATGCATTCTCTGAGCAGTCCGGCCTCGCCTCGTGTCAGGCAGGAGAAGCTGCACCCCGGAGAGCTGGAAGTGGGGCAGGCACTCCTGACAAACAGGAGGGCATCCTAGTCTTTCTAGACGTGGGTGATTGAGGCCCTTTCAACCTTTCTAGGAAGCAGATATGAGTCTTATTTTCTCAGATTCCCTGGTCTCGCTTTGTGGTAGCCCTGCTCACACTGTGGGCCAAGAAGTGTAGGAAAGTATGTAGCGTTGTCTGAAGCCGACACATGCTGAATCCGTGGCTCTTTTTCCTCTCTTGTGGCGGTGACGAAACTAGAGAGCCAGATGATAAATACTGATGGAGGCAGACGGGTGTCTCCACAGAGGCTTAGGGCCTGAACACATTGCTGGACTTCCTCCACTTGTGGTTGGTACTTAGCTCTGGATCTTGCATTTCTGTAGATTTCCCATCCCCCAGGGCTCCGATGGACTTAGGAGACGGTCGGTTCACATTATGGCAGTTTAACATTCCGACAAACAGGAGGCTACCGTGCCAGCCTGGAAAATGCAGGGCAAGTCCTCTCTGCCAGCACAGTATGGAGTTTATATATGTTCATCTCTGAGGGTTCTTGCCAAGTGGGATGATGTGGCCGAGGAGTTGGAGAGCTGCAGTAATGACGGGGGGGTGATGGTTTTGTCAAAGGGGGAAACTTCTTGAAAATGGCTGTGTCTGGAAATTATTATGAATGAAATGCAGACCCAAACTAAGAAATAAGTAAGAATTAATTATGAAATGGGTGTCTCAGGAAGATAGTTTTTCTCATGGACTGGAACTTTAAAAAAATATTTTTTAAAGATGTAAATTTTTTCATTTTTAAAACTGTGCTTTTTATTCTTATGAAAAGTTTTTACAAAAAAAAAAAAAAGCCAAGAAATTCTTGTTCTCCTCAGAAAGTTCCTCCATGCTCCCACTCCCAGTGCATCTGTCACTCTGTCATGCCTTATTTCCCTCATAAGACTTACCCCAATTTGATCATTATGTTTAGTTATTGATTTACTTGCTGATTATCTATCTCTCCCTCTAGGATATAAACCCGTGAGAACAAGGACTCTGTGGGAATTGAGTGTGGCTTTGCCCTCGTGTGGAGTCCTGGCACGTAATTTGTACTCAATGAGGGGATCGTTCTTAGGGAATTCTTCAACTTGGGTTATGACTATGGATCACTCCAGACAACATATACCAAAATCACTTTAGTATCTCTGTACTCTCATCAGAGCAATTAAAGTAAATATGAGTAATTACTTCACAAAGCAGTCTTGAGAATGAACACCGATAACGCAGGCAAAGTGCTTAAAATGAGGCCTAACACATCATTCAACAAATTC